GGTTGTCCGTCCAGGACGGACACGCACGCAGGGGCCTTGCTCCGTCCGGTTTTGCTTGTGGCAAAGGATGTCGCTCACCTCCGGTGTCCGTCCAGGACGGACACGCACGCAGGGGCCCCTGAGCGCTGTCAGCTTTGGCGCTGAGGACACCTCGCGCGTGTGTCCGTCCAGGACGGACACGCAGGTAGGGGCCCCTGAGGGCTGTCAGCTTTGGCGCTGAGGACACCTCGCGCGTGTGTCCGTCCAGGACGGACAGTTTCGGCAGACTGGGCTACGGCGTCGTTGACATTCCGTCGCCAGTGTCCACAGGTATTACATTCGCAACGCCTCGGCAAGACGAGACAGGATCATGCTTGGCCTGTAAGTAACTGTCACCGAGGAGTCCGCGCGTGTGTCCGTCTGGGACGGACAATCCTGAGGATCGAACCATGGTTGCATCGGTGACATCAGGCTCAAGATGATTATTGGTCTGGAATTGACGGAATCAGGCCCCTGCGCGCGTGTCCGTCCAGGACGGACAATCCTGATGATCCCCTCATGATTGCATCAGTGAGAAGAGGTCGAACATCATTGGCCTAAAATTGACTCAATCAGGCCCCTGTGCGCGTGTCCGTCCGGGACGGACAAATTTGCATAATCCGCCGTGATTCAATCGCATCTTTGGTATCCCAGATGTACTGTTATTTTCACTGCCCACATGGATGCTGCCGACGCCCGCTATGCTCAAATGGCCTATTGAATGTTGAGGACGTGTGGGCGATGACAGTCAATTCCAGACCGATCATTCTTTCATGACAATGAGGATATTTGTCATATCGAATCTCTTCAATCGATCATCGATAAGGGTGAAACATTTTTCCGGATCTCGACACGATGTGAAGGCCGCGATGTGGCTATGACAATTTGTCCGAAATTGGTCAAATTTACACATCGGCCAGAACCACAACGCTGGGAAAAGAACTCCGTCAGAAGCCTCAGGGCGGCAGAAGAAGCCATGCAGGGATACGCGCGGCGATCGCGGTGTGTCCATGAGGCCCTTCAGGGGCCCGCCCACACTCCGCGTGCAGGGACCTTCGCAAATCTCTTAAGAGGACCGGCCAAGGGCGCTACGGACTTCAACCCCCCACCATCCCACTCTCAACATGCCCACTCTTGACCACACCAGTCTGCTCCTGACTCTCTTCGTCGACATGCCGCATGTTGTGATGTGGCCCAACTTCCAGGCGCTCACTCAGTTGACGGTGGTCCCTTTCAGTCCGGAGTGTACTGCGCAGGACCTGGAAATGGAAGAGGAGGCTTATCAGTACGCGCGGGCATTTGTAGCTGCGTGGAAGACCAAACAGGCGAACACGAGCATGCGAGACGACATGGACGGCAGGCTCAAGTTCATGCGTGGGAAGCTAGATCAGTGGCATGAAGGGCGGAACCACACTCGGCAATGGCTGTCGCAGAAGTGGGACGAGTGGGCCTTCAGTGAGGTGGTGACAGAGGTTTTCGAGGCCGCTGGGTACGACACGTGGGAGTTCCACAAGAGGAACGGGGCCCAAGAGGTGCGCATAACTGTCCCGTATCAACTCGTCGTCTCTAACACTTCGTAGTGGATGAGTGCGGATGACGCCGAAATCTATCGCGTTTTCCGTCCTCTCGCCGTCAGGTTCTTCGGTCAGGAGTGCCTCCTGTCCGGGGATGGCATGGTGAACCCCAAGCTCAAGCCTTTCATCAAGGCCCTCGCATACCTGAATTGGGAAAAACTATCGAAGCGTTGGACCCGCGCGCTGAAGCAGCTGAGGACCTCCCATCACACCCTCGTGAAGGATTTGGAGAGTATGTGTTCTCCAGCAGCTCGCTATCATTAGCTGACGTCTCTTTCCCATGCCTCTAGAACTCAAAGCCCATGATTCTCTCACGCTAAAGGAGATCACTTCGATCATCGGCCGGATCAAGAATATCATCACGAAGGGGATGAAGTTCGGGCTTGAGGAAGTGAACAAGATCACCGAAGGTTGGAAGCTGCGACTGGATGAGATGAAGGCGCTCTCGGAGAAGACGAAAAGCAACATGCCGAAACGTAGGTCTCGTCCATCTCACTCTTTTCGTACAGGTGATGACGTTATGCTAGTGCTTCCTCGTGCCCTCCGCGAGGCGCTCAAACTTCTCGCCGATGGCCCCCGGATCGCCGTCGTCATCGAGGAGCTGGAGAGCGTCATGGGCTTGATGGCGAGCGGTGTCGAACCGCTGGAGGGGCTCCGCGAAAACGAGATCTCCATCGACGACTGGGAGACCGGCGTCGAGGAGTTCCAGGAGTACAACACTGATGCCCTCTGGGGCGCACTTGGGCTGGCGGACACCCGACTCCTCCCCTCTTTCAACCCTGTCCAGGACGCACGGGACGATGCCTCGGAGCGCGTGGACCCCTGGGACACGGAGAATTGGGCCTCTTTCCTCGCTAGCGGTGAGGGCGTCAAGCTGGAACCGCGATGGCACCAACTCGTCGGCCTCGTCAAGATCATGCGCCACGTCATCGAGGGCAAGCCACTCCTGCTCATGGATCAGGTTGGTGTCGGCAAGACGCTGCAAATTGTGGCTGCCATCACCACCTACGGCCTCTTCCATCGCTACTTCCAGACTCATAAGAAGTTTCCTGGAGCGTACGGTAAGTATTCTCATTGCATTCCAGGGGTCTCTCAGTTACTCATTTACATCTTCATTTCCAGCTGGCATGCGAGCCCCAACCCCAGACGGGAATCTGCCCGACGTTTTCCATCTCGTCTGTGTTCCTCCCTCCCTTTTCATTCAATGGCAGCAAGAGATCCGTCGCTACGTGAAGCACGGGGCTGTTGATCTCTTTCCATACGAGGGCGCCTGGTCGGCAGAGGGTCGGAAACTCTTGTGGGAGCAAATCAATGCTTGCCAGCGGCCGCGATGCGAGATCATCATTCTCGTCAAGGAACCGGTCAGTAGTGTTCACTTCAAACTCGTTTCATGCATCACTTACCGTAGACGTGTACTAACTGGACTTTGCTTGTAGGCGTTGGATTCCGACCGACATTATGCGTTCTTCGACGTCGATACGCAAGCACACCCGTTGCGCCCCGAGCCCACATACCCATTGAATGCGTGCATCTATGGGTACACGTATGGCATCGTCGCGGTTGACGAGGCTGCGAAGCTTCGCAACCTTTCCAAGATGTGGAATGCCATGTCAGAGGCCCTCCATCGCGCCCACTGTCCAATTGCCATGACGGCCACCCCCATGCACAATAGTCCCCTGGTATGTCAACCATTGCCTCAAACGTCGCATTTATCAACTGATTTTGTAAACAGGACCTCCTCAATATCGGCATGGCCTTGGGTGTGCCTGAATGCGATGACAACGCGTACGCGACGGATATCAGACGGGAGATTGGCCGCACGTCACGCAGGGCAACATTAGAGTTCAACAAGGCCAGCAAGGAGAAGGATTTCGTCGACAACCTCGTCAGCGGCCAAGTGGACCTCCCTGCGAAGAAGGAGCAACTTCACGCGATGGCCAAGCACATCAAGACACTCCGGACCTTCTTTCAGGGCTACATCATCCGACGAACTTTGGATGCCCTCGATTTTGAAGGCAAGCCCATCTCCGGCCTGGCCCCTTTCCTCTCGCGCACCATTCTCCTCACCCCGCTCGAAGCGGAGAAGAAGGCGTTGGCGGGATCGGCGGCGGAGATCGTCCAGGAGCATGGAGGTAGGCGACGAGCCGCTGCGGCTGCTCGGAGCGAAGGCGCGGTAAGTTATCTCACCTTCGTCAGTTAGCAGTGACACGGCCGCGGAACATACATCGCTGGATAACAGGGGTGGCTTTGGCTGTAAAGTTGGCCAGCCTCATCGTGGGTGCAGGAATGTCCGTCTGGGACGGACACGCGCGCAGGGTGCCCTTGCTGTGTAGGTCACCGCCTTCGTCATGCGCTGAGAATGTCCGTCTGGGACGGACACGCGCGCAGGGGCACGGGTACCCAAGCAACACTGCTGATCCGTCGCACGCGCGTGGCCGTCCCAGACGGACACCCACCTGCCTCCGCGGTCCACCATGAGGTCGTCTTTGATTCGTCCCCCTGCGCGCGTGTCGGTCCCAGACGGACATTCCTGCCCCCCCTGCGCGCGTGTCGGTCCCAGACGGACATTCCTGCCCCCCCTGCGCGCGTGTCGGTCCCAG